TCCGCTTATGCGGTCAACGTCCGCTTTTGCGGACTTTTCACTTAAGGCCACTTTCCGCTTCTGCGATCCCCAATCGCATCTGCGGGACCGCTTAAGCGATCCTAATCCCGCCTCTGCGGAACCTGGCAAGGGCCAAGTTTTCCGCTTCCGCGCTCCTCAAACCGCTTCCGCGAGACCGCACCTGCGGCCCCACAACCGCAGGTGCGAAACCAAAAGATACCAGCAACTTGAACCTGCAATTAAACTCCAGACACCTTCCGTTTAACCACCCGAACACACCCCGAGGCCCCCAGGACCTCAGCCAATAGCACAGACATAATCCAATACCCTATTCAAACTTGTTCCAATCTTAAAAACACATCCAACAAACACAAAAATCCTCATTTTTCATCAGTTTCAAGCCTAAGTTTCTTCAAATTCTTTTGAAACTCACATTCGATCAAAAACCCAACCAAATCACCTCCGAATCACCTGAAATTTTGCACGCATATCCAAAATCGCCTAACGAAGCTAATGAAACTCTCGGAATTCCATTCCGAGCGCCGGATCAAAATCTCACCTACCAACCGGAATTCGCCAAAATACTAACTCCGCCAATTCAAGCCTAATTCTACACCGGAACTCCAAAATCACTTCCGATCACACTCCTAAGTCAGAAATCATCCCCCGAAGCTAATTGAATCACCGGAAATCACATCCGAGCCCTCTAACTCGTTAGTCAACATCTAGTTGACTTTTCCAATATAAGCCTTCCTTAAAGAGACCAAGTGTCTCATTTTCTACCAAAGCCGAACCAATTTGACTCTAACTCACCAAATGCCGATAATGGAACATGAAGAAGCAATAAACGGGGAAAACGGGGCGGTAACACATGGGACGACGGGCCGGGTCGTCACAACTGCCCTGATTTTTCGGTATTTTTTCTGTTGTATTCATGAATACAGGAGCGTGAATACAGTGAATACATTACCGTAACAACTGAATAGCAGCTATAGAAAATAATTATGTATATGATAGCTATAGAGAGTTAGTAGCCACTAAACAATAGTGATTTATGAAAATTCCTCAATAATATTCTACACTGCAATGAACCATGTAGCAAAATTGTAGTATGACTCTTTCTCTTTGAACCAACCATACTTGATTATAACGATGAAGGCATAGGTGGATTCAAGATTCAATAAAATGTATGTACTAATATATTGAGGTAAATTTGAGATTTAGATTTAACGGGTTTAACTTTTTAGGTTCTTATCACTGAATCCATTATACTTTAAAATTATACAGAGGTTCTAAATTAGTACTCTTGCTTTTAAAAAAATTAATAGTAATTTTACATATATATACTTATATCTTGTGTCGAAAATATTGGAATCGGTTGAACTAATTGAAAATATGCTACATCCTCCATCACTATTAATTTTAATATATATTCAATCTAATTATACAAAGTTTTACGGGGATAAAAGGAAAATAGAAATTCAGTTTATTAAACTTAGATATTTTGAAAGAATATCAAAGAAAGAAAAGGAGAAAAATACTTATATAAAACACAAGAAATAACACAAACATGCTCAATTGTATAGGGAAAGCAAGAAAAAATAACATTAGGAGTTCAAACACTATATCGACTTTATTATTGTTAAAATAGTTCAAACCTTATATCTACTTTAAAAATAATAAAATAGATATAAGGTTTGAAATTTTAACCTCATTAGAAAGATAATTATTGTATACATTTTGAGGTCGTTTGGTAGCTGGTTAGAAGAAAGGTTATTCATGTATAAGGGGTAATATAACTTATACCATGTTTGGTAGGCAATAGTTATTTTGTATAAAATTCTGCATAACTAATACCATGTTTGGTTGACATTTTTCAATTATGCATAAATAATACATGTATAAGTTATGAGTCAATCTGCGTATTATTTTATGCGGGGTAGAAGATGGAATAACTAATACATGTATTGGTAATACATGGATAAAATACTGAAATGACAAATTTACCCCTATCACTTTACACATAAGGCTTCCTTATTTCTCTGCCAACCCGTCAACAGGTTTCACTTGCTTTCACTTGCCAACTATATACCTTGTCTTCTCTCTTTTTTAAAGAACAAACTAGCAAAAGCAAACTGGAGAAGCCACTAGAAAATGGAAATACCAAAACTAAGAAGTGAAAATCAAATATGTCTAAACTTCACATAGTTCAGTAGTATGACGAAGAAGTGAAAGTAACACCCAAAGTTCCTAACTAAATTGTTTCCTACATAAATGGAAAGAGAGAAAAAACAATGTAAAAGAAGGCCAGGGGTATAGTTGTAAACAAGCATTTTACTTTAAAATTTATATAATGTATATCAATTTCTAATACAACAAACCAAACATTCAAAAAAATAATCTCTGCATAACTAATACCTGCATAACTAATCCCTGCATTACTTATCCCTGCATAACTAATCCCTGCATAACTTATACATGTATAACTAATACCTGCATAACTCTAACCGGCAACCAAACCACCCCTTTGAGTTTAAGTGCACACATGCATATTTAAGTATATCCCGATTACTTGCCAAGTGAGAGAAGGTCTACCTTCTCTCTAAAACTACTCATCTTCTCAATTACTCATTTACAGATAATGATCAGCGCTTCAAACTCCCCTATTCAAATCTCCTTAATTCCACCTAAGCCACCATACATTTCCAATTCACCTGTGAAACTCAACAGCCCACAAAACTCTACCATCACATTCAAAGATGTGTTGCTAGTTCAATCCGTGGAAACCCATATTATGCAATATAAAGAGTCACATACTCAATTCATGTCAGTTGATACGCCAATGGATGAAACAATGCAGCCTAAACCCTATGTGCGTGGACTGGAAGCAGTTGATGGAGGATTTCAAATCTGCCTATCCACGGAAGACCTTAAGCGTATTTACCGACCTTGGAAATACTCTGTCATTATTAAACTCATGGATACTCTGTCATTATTAAACTCATGGATAAGTGTATTGTTTACCTCGAAATACGAGTAACAATTAAACTTGTTTGTGGTTTTAAAGATACGTGATTTAATTCAATACTAATTAATAACCAAAAAATCCAACGTATAAATTAAAGAAGTAAGTTGAATCAACCCAGTGCTTAAGCAATTCTTGACCTCGAGCTATGATGGCCTCGAGGTAGGTTAACAAGAACAGTAAAGTAAAGACAATAAAGCTAAGAGACAATTCTGATGAGTAATGAGCAACAAAGTAAGAGAGTATATTCTTTTACCAATGATTGATGATCCGTTACAAATGATTGATGTCCCCTTTATATAGTAGGGGAAGCCTAAATAAGGTACATTTCTATTTACAGTAAGGAATCTTATTGGGACAGTTGTCTAACCGCCTAGTACAAATCCGTACTAACTCATACAAATCTATTCCGAAATTTACGCCATGATCTTGGGGCCATCGCGGGAATCTCGCTCTTTCTGTTATAAAACCATAATGGTATTATCTCGAGGTTGGTCGTACTCGGCCCCGGTGTTCATCGAGCAATCCGATCTTCGAGTACAGTATTCTGCCCTCGGGCTCGAGCCCGGCCCATATCGAGTTTGTTCCTCAACACGAGCCCTCGAGCCTACAAAATCGGGGACACATGATTTTACCGTATACAGATAGTCCCCGCGTTTCTTAGAATAAAATGATAAGAAACAATTTGAGCCTCGATTTTTCGGAGTCCTTGATGATGACGTCATTCCCGTGATGTAGGCGCTCGAAGTGACCGAAACGTCCCATCAGTTCGCTTCCCCAAAACATTAAATGCTTCTAGGGGGTGGTCGTCCATTAGCACCGTTGAATCGTCGCTGCTTGCCTATAAATGCAAGGTTAGATTTCGGAAAAACTTTACTTCAATCTTCAGACCGCCTTCAGACTCCTTTTACCTCTCCCTCTCTTCATCTCTTCTCTCTCATTACCCGTTACCTGATTCCTTTTAGCACAAAAAAACACCAAGTTCCACCTACTTCCGCCTCTACTAATCCAAATCAATGGCGAAAACTTCCAAAACAGTTCCTCAAAAAGAGAAAGCTTCCTCCTCCTCTTCCTGACGGCCGGTGATAAAGAGCCGGCCCTTCACGAGATCATTCCCGGCCCCTGCGTTATAAAGAAAGACTTCAGAGTTGAAAATTTCCCCACGATTCCCGATCGATGCGAGCATGTATCGAGGTATGTTTGCTGGATAACGGAGAAGCATATCAAGGCCATGAAGAAAGATTGTAGTTGGGGGGACCAGGTCGTGGTACAGATCCCCGACCCTAAGGAGAGCATTACCACTCATGTGGAGGGGTTCCTAAGTGTTTACACTTACCCCTTCATACCGGGTCCCCTAGATCTAGTCGTGATCGACTTCTGCAAAAGATATCAAGTCACCCTCGGCCAGATCCATCCCTCTTTCTGGCATATAGTGACTATGCTTCGTTACTTCTACAGCAAGGCTGAGGGGCTAGAGTTCACCCTCAACCACCTCATCCGACTGTATCGGCCTCAACTTTTCTGAGGGCTGATCAAGCTCCAACGCCGATCGACCAAGGCCTTCTTTGCTAGCAATGACGATGATAAGGACCGAGGCCGGATGAGCCTGTTCGTGCGAGTGAAGACCTCGGACGTCATCCCCGAGGGTGAAATGCCGTTCCCAGAAAAATGGAACCCCGATCGTAAGTGAAGTCCTTTTCCAGTGTCTTCTTATATTCTGTTTTTGCATTGTGTGATGCCTTTACCTTTGCAGCGGTTGCTTGGATGCCCCATGCGATCTACGACCTTGAAGATTGGCTCCGTAAATTAGCCGCGACCTCTTCGTATGATAAACTCAAATGGCGTGACTTGTCGAAGGCAAATGGGAGGCCAAACACCACGGTAAGTCCTTCTCCCATGTTTTTTACACGTTCCCCTTTATTGGATATATGTCACCTTACTCATGCCTATTGTAGGTATTGGAGATGCCTCCGAAATGAGGCCAGTCCCGCCCAGGGAAGAGACCGAGTCCCCGATTCTAAAATCGAGGAAAGATAGCAAGAGAAAAAGGTCTTCGACACCCGAAGACCCCCAAGACAGGAGGGCCCCTACTCGAAGGCTAAGGAGGAAACTCATTCACGTGGACATAGACTCAGTCCATCAACTGAAAGATGAAGAAGAAGAAGACGAGGGCGAAGAATCGGCACTGGTGACCCGAGCCAGGAAGCCAGTCGAAGCCGTCAAGCCTTCCAAACCGGAGACCCTGCCTCTTGGTGAGGAGGCTCCGAAGAAAAGCGTAGGTAAAGCCCACGAATCACCTGAGGTCGAGATCGTTCCTCTTCCTCCAACAAGCACACCAAAGGGGACAAGTACCGAGATACCTGGATCTGGACAGAGCGCCCCGAGCGACATACTCGGGGCCATGACAATAGGTCACTCTCCTCCTATACCAACTTATTATGAGGAGGCAATAAGGAAAGCTCAAGCTCTACAAACGCCTGACCCGAGCGGAGTCCCTGGTGAAGAAGATCCTTTCCGGGATTGCTTTACTGGGGTCGATGATGCCGCCGACCTCAACAACGCATCTACCCTATTCGAAGAGGCTCACCGTCCTTTTGCTCAGGTAAGCATTAGCTCTTATTACTGCAATTCCTTCTTCATCCCTTACCCTAACTGATATCTTTTTTTCTGTGTAGGCCATTACTAGGTTCAGGGCCGAGCAGAGCCAATGTAAGGCCGAGCTCAAGAAGTCTTTGGCAGAAGGGAAGGCCCTGAGGCTCCTTTGCAGCAAAAAGAATGAGGAGCTCAAGGACCTTCGAGCATACTTGGCCAAAGCTCGTCAAAATGAAGTTGAGTTGGACAAGCAGGTAACCTTCATTTTGCAAGAGTATGGTCTACTTGACCCAACTGTGAAGGCTATTACTTCAGTGTCTTAGCTGCAGCGAAAATTGGAGATGATCGGGCAGCTTCGAGGGGAGGTCGATCAAGTTAAGGCCGACTGCAACCAATGGAAAGAAAATATGGATCGGCTTGCTGCTGAGAAAGAGGCTGCTCTAGCGCAACTGGCCTTGGCTGAGACCCAGCTCTGGGGTGCTAAAGTGAAAAATATGGCCCAGGCCAAGAAGATCGATGAGCTCGAGGCCAAACTTGCCACAACCGGGGCTGAGGTTGCTGAAGCCAGGGCCGAGAAGACGAAGGCCACAACTGAAAAAACCGTTGCTGTGTACCTAAGGGATGCTGAGGCTGCTCAAATGGAATTAAGGGAAGCCTCCAACCGGGAGAAACGGAGCAATGATATAGTTAAGTGTCAATCCTGGAGGGAGACCCTCGAAGAGATCCAAGCTCGAGGTTTCAACCTTACCGAGGAGATAGCCCAAGCAAAAGCGCTCGAAGCCGATGCTAAGTTTCTCGTCTCCTCTAATGATGATGATGACGAAGGCAGCTAAAGCGGGTCCGATTATGAAGTTGGGCCCGAAGAGGAAGCTGCTACCGAGGGAGAGACCAGCCCTGGGAATAAATAGGATTTTCCTTTCTCTTTCTGTATTTTACTTTTTGTAAGACCTTTTATCGGTCTCTTGTATATATCTTTTTTGCGAGTATATAAAAGAAGAATCCTTGAATGTTTTCTCGATGCTTCCTACCTTGTAAAATTCTTATAATCACTTCATTCTTTGAACTGTGTGTTTGAGATTTTATCTCAGATGTTTTCTTCGAAATTGTCGTGGTCGAGTTCGAATAAGGTTCGAACTTTCGGGCATAGACCCTTACAGTGCCGGATAATGGTAAGTCTCGATCCATAATCAAGCTTTTATTTATTTAGGCTTGGTATAATCGAACCCTTGGGTTCGGACTGGGTGAGAACAAGGTCTCGAACCCTAAGTGTATTGGCCCTTAGGCTCTTTTAGAACGGGCCATTATGGCCTTTAAGAGATGGATATTATTTCCCCTTTTCGGCTTAGAAGACTTAGTAAAAATTCATTTATGCCTTGTCATGCATTTTTTACCCATTGGGTTTTTTGAGGGTTCGGTGTCGATCAGAACCCTTTGTTTTTAGTGCCTTAGCACGAGTTTGTATTTGAATAAGTTGATACCTCTTAAGGTTTTTCGAGGGCTGATTTTATCGAAGCCCTTTGATTATTTTGCCTAGGGTAGCCTTTATTTAACCGGTTTTTTGAGAATTCTAAGGCCTATTTTTATTGCAGAATTCAGACGTCTTCGAGCCGCGTTATTTCAGCCGTAGCCTTTAATATGGCCATAGCCTTCGGGTGTGTCTCTTGGACTTGTTTCCAGATAACATTTCAAACTTATCTGAAATGTTAGTCCCCGAGTATGATGGCCTTGGCCTTTGCGTCGAGGGATGCCTCTTTGAGGTCTTGTAAATTCAAGTTTAGACAACTCGAACGTGTTGACTGTCGATGATAGTCCCCGAGTATTCGAAGTGCATTTGCATTTTGGTCCTTAAGTCATTTCTCACAGAATCACAAGTATAGAGCTCGAATAGTAGCAAATTTCTTTGGGGCACAAAGTGTTTGATGTAGAAAGAGTGCTTCTTTGAATAATTCATACATGCGCACATGTTTTGCCATCGGGGCTCGACTATTCTATACGAACACGGTTCATCTGACCGTTTGGCCCATTACAAAGTTTTCCTATCGAGACCCTCTTTGGCGTGAAGTATTTTTCTAAAAAATATAACCTCCGAGGGTGATGCCCCCAGTATTCGAGGTTGATTGAAAAGAAGCCTTGGATACTGTTGAATTCTCCCTAGGTAGCACATAGTTGTTGCCTCGTTAAAAACCTCGCCGGATTTGGGATAAAACCCGATCTAAGGGAAAAAGAGTGCAACGCGTGCTTTAAAACCTAAGTTCTTTGTGTAGAAAGGTGCCCTCGATGTCTTCGATCGAACATCTGCAACGAGTTAGTCTTAAATACAAATGGAGAAAAGGAGAAGGTCATATCTTAGCAGTAGTATCGTTTAAGTAGTGATACATTCCAATTGTTTGGCAATTGTTCGCCTTCCATCGTGCCAAGTTTGTAAGATCCTTTACCGACAACTCCGATAACTCGGTACGGTCCTTCCCAATTCGGGCCTAGTTTCCCTTCATTTGGGTCTCGAGTATTGAGGGTGACTTTTCGTAGAACTAAGTCCCCGATTCCGAAGTGTCAAAGGTTGTTCCTTCTATTATAATTTATCCCGATTCTTTGTTTCTGCGCGGCCATCTGAACAAGTGTAGCTTCTCATTTTTCATCTAATAGCTTGAGGCTAGTACTCATATCCTCGTGACTTGATACCTCTGATGTATATCAAATCAGGCGCTGGGTTCCCCGACCTTGACTGGAATCAAGGCCTCAGAGCCGTATACTAAAGAGAACGGGGTTGCCCCCGTGCTGGACTTCGATGTCGTTCGATATGCCCAAAGAACCTCGGGTAAAACTTCTCTCCATTTTCCCTTAGCGTCGTTCAGCCTTTTCTTCAAGTTTTGTATGATATTCTTGTTTGTCGATTTGGCCTACCCGTTTCCGCTCGGATGATACGGTGTTGATAAGATCCTTTTTATTTTGTGTGCTTCGAGGAATTCCATTACTTTGTTGCCTATGAATTGTTTGCCGTTGTCGCATACGATTTCGGAAGGTATCCCGAATCGGCACACGATGTGGTCCCAGATGAAGTCAATAACTTCTTTTTCTCTGACCTTCTCGAAGGCCTGTGCTTCCACCCATTTAGAAAAGTAGTCAGTCATAAATAAAATGAATTTAGCTTTACCTGGGACCGTTGGTAGAGGGCCGACAATGTCCATTCCCTATTTCATGAAAGGCCATGGGGACAAGACTGAATGAAGTTGCTCTCCGGGCTGATGAATCATCGGTGCCAACCTTTGACATTTATCACATTTTCTAACAAACTCCTTAGTGTCTTTTTCCATGCTATCCCAGTAATACCCAGCTCTAATAATTTTAAGAATCAAAGACTCGGCGCCGGAGTGATTCCCACAAGTGCCTTCGTGGATTTCTCGTAGAACATAATCGGTGTCCCCCGGCCCTAAACATACCGCCAATGGTCCATCGAACGTCCTCCTGTATAATATTCCATCTTCATCCAATGTGAACCTAGCAGCCTTGGTTCGTAGAGCCCTCGACTCTTTATGATCCGATGGGAGCTTTCCATTTTTTAAATATTCGATATACTTGTTACTCCAATCCCAAGTCAATCTTGTAGAGTTAATCTCGGCATGGCCTTCTTCGATAATAAATCTCGATAATTGGACGACATCCCCCAAGATAATATCATTTTCCTCAACTGACGACCCCAAGTTAGCAAGTGCATCGGCCTCATTGTTTTGTTCTTGAGGCACATGGTCTAGAGTCCATTCCTTGAAGCGGTGCAATGTCACCTGTAGCTTGTCCAAGTATCTCTGCATCATATCCTCTCGAACTTCGAAGGTTTTGTTTACTTGGTTCACTACCAATAGAGAATCGCACTTGGCTTCAACGACTTTTGCCACTAAGATTTTAGCTAGCTTGAGACCTGCAATCATGGCCTCATACTCGGCCTCATTATTAGTCAACCTAGAAGTTTTAATAGATTGTCTAATAGTATTACCTGTAGATGGCTTTAAAACAATGCCAAGCCCGGATCCTTTCACATTCGAGGCATCGTCCATGAAGAGGGTCCATACCCCCAATGATGTACCCGATTTTAGCATAAGTTCTTTCTCCATTTTGGGTACGAGGGTCGGCGTAAACTCGGCCACGAAGTCAGCTAGTATCTGAGACTTGATGGTCGTTCGGGGTTGATATTCGATATCGTACCCGCCAAGTTCGACAACCCATTTGGCCAATCGGCCTATGCAAAACATTTCGAAGAGGATAAGTGGTTAACATACAAATGGGGTGACACTGAAAATATGGCTTTAACTTTCTAGATGCGCTTATTAATGCAAGTGCCAATTTTTTCAACTGTGGATATCTAGTTTCAGCATCTCCTAAAGTCCGACATATGTAATAAACAGGGAATTGCATATCTTTCTCTTCTCAAACCAGTACACCACTTACCGCTATTTCGGACACTACTAAATATAAGTACAGCTTCTCGTCCACCTTTGGAGTGTGAAGCAGAGGTTGGCTCGACAAGTATCGCTTCAATTCCTCCAAAGCTTGCTGGCATTCTGGGGTCCGTACAAAATCATTTTTCTTTTTGAGTAAGGAAAAGAACCTGTGACTTCGACCTAATGACCTCGAAATGAATCGGCCCAAGGCGGTTATCTGTCCTGTTAGCCTTTGCACGGCTTTCACACTATCTACGATAGTGATATCCTCGATGGCATTGATCTTGTCGGGGTTAATTTTGATTCCCCGATTTGATACCATAAAGCCGAGGAACTTGCCCGAACTGACCCCGAAGGCACATTTTTCTAGGTTAAGCTTCATGTTGTATTTCCTCAAGATTTTGAATGTTTCCTGCAAATGAGTTAAATGGTCCTCTGCGCGCAGGGACTTAACCAACATATCATCAATGTAAACTTCCATCAATTTACCTATCTGTTCCTCGAACATTTTGTTAACTAGGCGTTGGTATGTAGCTCCAATATTTTATAGTCCAAAGGGCATTACATTGTAACAGTATGTTCCAAACTTAGTGATAAACGAGGTCTTCTCCTGGTCTTCCGGGTTCATCTGAATTTGATTGTACCCGTAGTAGGCATCGAGAAAGGTAAGGATCTCGTGGCCAGCCGTGGCATCTATCATGCGATCGATGTTAGACAGTGGAAAGGAGTCTTTAAGGTATGCCTTGTTTAAATCCTTATAATCTACGCACATTCTAAGTTTGTTCCCTTTTTTAGGGACTACAACTACGTTGGCTAACCATTTTGGGTATTTTACCTCCCGAATGGACCCTACTTTAAGAAGTTTAGTTACCTCGTCCTTTATGAATGCATGCTTCACCTCGGGCTGGGACCTCCTTTTTTGCTTTACTGGTTTGAACCTGGGGTCGAGACTCAATCGATGTGTTGTTATTTCCGGTGGAATCCCTGTCATGTCTAAATGAGACCAAGAAAAACAATCCATGTTATCGATAAGAAATTGAATGAGTTTTTTCCTGAGTTTGGGGGTAAACCCCATTCCCAGGTATACTTTCTCTCGGGCGTATAATCGGTAAGTATGACCTGTTCCAGCTCCTCGACCATTGACTTGGTTGCTTCTGACTCTTCGGGAACAACGAAAGTTCGAGGAGTAAGAAAGTCCTCTTCTTCTTCTTCCTCGATTGCCTGTTTCACCGATTCGGTCGAGGCAAGGGGCGGTGATTGCTATTTGGCCGTCTTCTTATCTTTGGTGCCTGATTTTTCCGAGGTCGAAGGTGCTGGTATCGGTGCCACCTCATCGACTGCAAATTTCTTCCTTTGCAGCGTGTTGTTCCCCGTAAACTGTTTTCACACCATCCACTGTT